GTTTGCCAATCTTGGGGCTTGAACTCAAGGTCTAGGCACTGTCTCTGTGCTTTCTGCTCAAGGCTAGAGCTCTACCACTGGAGCCACAGTGCCACTTCTGGCCTTTTCTGTTCATGTTGTGCTGAGGAATGGAACCCAGGGCTTGATGCATGTTAGGCAAGCACTCCACCACGGAGCCACATTCCCAGCCCCAACAGAACCTTATTTCTGTTGCTGGCAACAAGTAGTCAGGGAAACAGAAAAGAATAGCAGGGGAAGCATTGGCAACAACTGACTCTCATGACAAGGAGAATGCCAGTTTGCTTCTCTGGTGTGTGTGTGTGAGAGAGAGAGAGAGAGAGAGAGGACAGAGAGAGGGGGGAGAGAGAGAGAGAGAGAGAGAGAGAGAATGCCTTCAGACAATGAAAATTCCAGTAGTGATTAGGTCACGCATGACTCGGATGGTCACCTGTAACAAGGTTTGCCCAGGGCTTCCACTAAAGGAAAACTCTGAAAACGGGGTCAATTGTATGAAGAGGAACAAAGAGTTCCCACAAAGGGCCATGGTGGAAAGAAGTGGTGGATTCCTGAAAAGTGAATAGCACGGTCTTAAATTCTGATTTAATGCCAGACTGGGGTCAAAACACATGTACCGTTTTTTTTTTTTTTTAAATTTTACAGCCACCATGAAACACTCTGGAGACCTGCAGGGGCTGTGTTACCTCTGGGAAAGGCTGGGGACCTGCAAGGGCTGTGTTACCTCTGGGAAAGGCACAGACTCCTCTTGTCACTTCTGTGACAGTTGTGGGGCCCATGCCAAGAGCGGGGAGTGGGAGGTTGGGAGAGAGGGAGGAGGGACAGAGAATTCAATTCCACAAAGCTCCCCTTGTCCCAGAGAGCACCCCAGAACTCCAGTTCCTCAGAGTCCGAACTTGGCAAACTGCCTTTTGAGTGAATCCAGCCGGGGCAAAAAAGTGAGTGCAAGGTCCAATCTCAACCAATAACCTGGTTGTGGAGATGCATGTCTGCAGTCCTGGCTATGTAGAAGGGGTGCATAGGAGGCGTGCTGTCCAAGGCCGGCTCAGGCAGAAAGGCCAGAGAGCCTATCTGGAAAATAAATGGAAGCAAATAAGGGCTGGAGGCATAGCTCAAGTGGTAGAGCACCTGTCTAGCAAGTAAGAGGTGCTGTATTCAAACCCCAATATTGGAAAAAAATAGATTGACACACCTTATGCCACCTCCTTCAGGGAGAGGCCTGGGGATTGAGTGGGGTCACCTCCATGGACGGTGTGGGCCTGTGACAGGCGCTGTTGGAGCATCTCAGTGTCTATGATTGGAAGTGGGTGACTCAGCTGGTGCCACAGCAGCCCAACAGGCCGACCCCGAGCCCACCCGTGCTCCTGATATTCTGAGGCCCCGACTCAGGGCAGACCTGGAGAAGAAATGGGGTGGGCTCACTCTGCCCCTTGGCAGCAGCTGCCTTTTTAAGAAGAGGGAAAATACGACCATTTCAGACTTGGTGATGGTGCCTGCCGGGAGACAAAGCCTGGAGAGCTAGTTCTACCGTTCCAATGTGAACTGTCTCCCATGATTTCCGCTATTGTGGGCTTGGTCCCTGGTGGGTGGAGCCATTTTGGAAATGTTAGGTTTTTAAAAAGAGGTAACCGAGTAAGAACTGCACCACGTACGTGGTATTCAGGTAAGGGGGTAGGTTTATTCAGTAGACCTGCTGGGACCAGGCAAGGTTGGCACTCCACGTGGCTGGGAAAGGAAAGAGGAAAGAAAGGAAAGAGAGAGAAAAGAGCTAGAAAAGGGAGAGAGAGCAGAGAGCTAGAAACGAGCCGAGAGAGAGCTAGAATAGAACAGAAAGAGAGCCTGGGCCTGTGCTAGGCCTTATCTAGGGTATGGGCGGGGAAAGGTGTGGCCACATCAAATTCAGATGTGACCTCAGCGGATGCAGATGTGACCTCTTCCAGGTGTCCCAGTTGCCTAGGTAACGCAGGTACTGGGTGGAGACTTTGCTGCGAGGAGGGTGGAGTCTGCTAGCCATCCAGGAGGGAACCTTACCAGAAAGTTCTAGTAACTTTGATTGGTAGGGCCTAAATGGACTTGAAGATTTATACCTGGTCCCTTCTTGTTCCCCTCTCTGCTTTCTGTCTGCCATAAGGTAAAAACAAACTGACAAATGAACAAACTGCCATCGCTAGGTGCTGGTGGCTTATATGTAAGCTACTCAGGAGGCTGGTCTGAGGGACTGAAGTTCAAAGCCAGCTCAGGTAGGAAAGTCCTCAGGACTCTTATCACCAATCAACCACAAAAAGCTGGAAGTGGAGCTGTGACTCCAGTGGCAAGCTCCGCCTTTGACCACAAAAATCTCAGGACAGACCTAGGTCTTGAGTTCAAGCCCCAGGACCAGCACACACACACACATACATACACCCTAACTCCCCTCATATGGTCCCACCACCTGGGACCAGGCTACCCCCCACACCCACGGAATCTCTGAAAACCACCAGCCAAGTAAATCCTCCCCCCTTTTACGTTGTCCAGAATCTCCTCTGAACCTGAAGCCCGGATATGATGCTTTGCGTCACTCAGGAAACGTGGTCACCCAGAGGATGACACCGCTCTGTGGTTTCTGTTCCTTCACCTATGTCTCTGCTGTTCCTCTGGGCTGGCAGGCAGGGATTTGATCACACAGGAGAGTGAGACTCAGCGTCTGACTCCTCCCGCCAGTGGGCTCCTCCTGAAACACCTGCTGCTGTGGCACCTGCCTCTGGCTCCTGGCAAGCCCAGCGGCCACGGGGAAAGGAGGGTGCGCCGACCGGTGGAGATGCCTGAGAACCCGAAGGGGGGGCAGCCTTGCCTAGAAGGAGCAAGGCCTGGAGGTGGATCCCCACTGAGAGCAGGGCAGGGAGGGGCAGTCAACCATGGGCAGGGTCATTAGGGATTAGGGAGAGGAGTCACACACAGCAATTACAGCCTCGTGACCCGTTGCAAAACTAGAGAACTTCTGCTTGTGTTTCCTCCCCGTGTTCTGGTGGCTATTTTAAGCGCGTGCCCCTATCCCCATTCGTCTGCTTTTCCACGTGGAGCCAAGGAGGGGCAGATCTCAAGTTGGATCACGAGACAGGGGATCTGTGGGAGAGGAGGGCATGGCTTCTCACTCATCCAGGGGTCCCGTGTTACCCCGTGTGTGACGGGAACCCCTGGGTGTTATCTTGGGTTTTAGAGTTGTAGGGATGTTGAGAAGTACGTTTGATCCTGGCCGGTCAAAGAGGTGGGCTATCCAGGCAATTTGCTATTCTTTTACTTTTATGGATCTTTTTCTGTTTAAAATCTAAGGGGGCGGGGGGGGGGGTGTCTCACTGTCGCTCAGGCCTCAAACTCACATATACTGCCTCTGCCACCCAGGGTAGGGGCCTACCACACCTGGCATTCTTTCTGGGTTCCTTTGCAAGTGTGGCAAAGACTGCCAGGTTCTGAAATCCACCCTCCCCTTAGTCCACAAAAAAAAAAAAAAAAAAAGCAGAGGCAAGACTTTCAGTTGTGCTCAAGACCGCACAAAATAGGCAGCGGTTTCCATGTTCTCTCGTAGCGAGCTTACTGAGGTGAGGCGCTTCTTCCAAGGAAGGTGGAAATGTGCTGCGCCTGGAACAGTGCTGCGGAAAAGGACAAGGCAGGTGCCCTTAGCCGGCCTGTGTTCTGCCACGCGCCAGCCTGGAAGGTGGGCATGATGGCTGGAGTGCCAGGAGCCGCTCTGCATCCTGGGGTTGGTCTTGTGGCGAGCACCCCGCAGGAGAACGCTGAGAGCCGGGGCTTCTGCTTCAGTGTGCAGAACTACAGCCGTGTTGTCTGCAGTGTGACCGGGGACAAGGGTCAACTGGGGGCAAGGGTCCACTAGGTGCGCCTCGCTCCAACAGGCCTGGGTGACCACAGGGCAGGACGCTGGGAGACACCTTGTTCCTAGCCTGCCCTGGCTGGGGGGAGCGGCAGACCGGGGCTGGGGCGGTGCCTCGCCCGCAGAGTGTGGCGCGTGCGGGGGTAAACCGAGTCAAGCTCTCTGCCAGGAAGAAGCAGAGCCCCGGACAGCAGGCGCCGAGTGGGGCCCGGGGCCCGCGGGCCATCCCGGCCTGCCTGCGCGCGCCCCCGCGGCCTCGTGCCCGCGCGTGGCTCGTGCACGTTTAGTTTGAAGGGAAAGGCAGCTTGCTGTGGCTTTGTTCTTCAGTTAAGGGGAGAGCCAGCGAGGCTCGCTCCAGGCCAGGGGCGCACACCGTCCTATCCGGCCGCGGGGGCGCGCGGAGGGGAGCGGGCGCGGCTCCGGACTGATCGGAGCTG